TCAGACAGGCAGTCTGCACAGGCCTGCATAGGCCTTGGCCCTTCTGGGCGGGATAGAATAGTGGTGGCTCAGGACCTCCAGATGCTGACATCAGCCTTTGCCTAGGAGGGGCCAAAGAGAACATTCTTGCTTAGCTTGCGTGCTTTTGAGGGGAGGCCTGCCCTCCAGGCACTGTATAGACAAACTGGAGCCTTCTGCATCAGAAAGGACTGTTGCACAAATGGGAAACAACCAGCAAGCCCCCAACTCCAGGTCATGGTGTGTCGAAGTCACTCCTGATTAAGAACCACATTGTGGAGTGTTCAGCGATGCCCTGAGTATTTGTGAATCAAATCAATTGGAATTGTGTCCTTTCCTTGGTGCAGCAGGAAGGGTAGCTTCTGGAGTGAAGAGGCTTATGAGCTGGTCCGAGGCTTAGGAGCTGGGTTAACTTGAAGCAAAGTTTTCTAACTTGAATTGCCTCATCTGGAGAACAAGGATGGAATAGTGACACACCTTTCAGGACTGTAGTGAGGCTTCATGGAATAATGCATATGAAAGCAACGTGTGCCCTCTCAGGTTCCATACAAATATCAGGTGTTGTTTGCCTTAGAAGCTATTCTTGGTGTAAGAATAAAGCAAGCTTTTTATCCACCTAGTAGCACAAACAAACAGCCAGCCAGACATCCTCGCCATTGGGGGAAGACCAAAGAAAACCCCTCAAAGGCACAGAGATGTTTGAAGATACTGGTTTCCCCAGCCTCTGTTTTGTTCGGCCCAGTCCAGCTGTCGAGGAGGTGCAGAGCAGCTGCAAGCAGGAAGGAAGTCCTTGGCTAGACCTCCAGCTGCTGTGAACACCTCCACAGCCCAAGAATGACACAGCGGTGGCCCTCCTTGCACAGTCATGTGGCCGCTCCGAAGACCAGCTCCTTGAAGAGGCTCCTGAACTTGAAACAATATAATACTGATCTGATTTCTCCATAGGAAGAATGTTATAATCAGAGATTACATTCTTTTCCAGTGGCCCAATGTACAGCTTTTTCTAGGAATGACCAAAGGCGTTCAGGAGATACCACCCTAAAATATGATGCTTTGGTTTGCCGATTACTTTGCACTGAGGGCATCTGGGGAACAGCCGATGCAGGCCAGAGGCCTTCTCTGAGCTCCCCTTATCTGCCTAAAGAGAATCCTCCAGAAGGAACTCAGTTGTCATGAATCCCCTCCCTGGGAATCTTATCAACCAGGGAAGATTAACTGAGATCACAGGAGGGGAGACTGGAGGTGACACCATGCCCAGACAGACTGTCACCTCCTCTGCTGAGAGCTGATCCGAGACAGCCTTTATCACCTGAGAGACTTTATGTGGTTACAAGACAACCTTTATTCACCAAATATTTCCTCCCCTAACCCTCCCAGAACTTGTGTCTCTGCCACCCCCCAGAAGCCCCGGGTCCTTTCTGTAGCTCAGGATGCTAATAGACTCCAATCAGTTGATCTTTCTTTGAGTCTCATATTTTGTGGGACTCCCCCGAGTACATACATAACTAAATATGGTTTTTCTCCTGTTAATCTGTCTATGTCCACTTTAATTTGTATCCCAGCCAAAGAACCTAGGAAGTGTAGAGGGAAGCCATTCTTCATTCCTCTATAACCACAAATACCCCATCTAGTTGACTTCCCAAAAATATTCCTATACAATATTCAGTAGAAAGTTGTTTATGTTTAATAAATCTTTGAAGCTATAAATATTAACCATCTCCTAAACTTTAATTTTCTTGGGGGAGAGGGTTATCCATATTTGTACCAGCAGAGGGGAAGGGACTTTCAGAAGAGCGATTGTATTTGGCTGGGGAGCCCGGGAAGGGTGGCAGAGTGGGAGGAGGGGCTGGGCTACCCCTGCACAGAAGAGGAAAGTATCTAATGACTTATTTAACGTTGTCTCTGTGAGGGCAGGAGCTGTTATCTGTCCTACCAACTTATTCTTAACACACTGTACCTAGTTTCAGTAGTGCTCAATTAAAAAATGTTGCTTGGACTTTTGTAGAGCCTGGGCCCCGCAAGACTCCCCCCTGGAAGGGAGCAGGCAGCTGTGTGCGTGAGGAGGGAGAAGGCCCTCTGTGCAGGGGCAGATCAGAACACAAATACCAGAAGGGGGGGACTGCAGGAAGCTGAGCTGAATTGTGAACGGCTGGCTGTTTTTACTCCTGACTATAGTACAGTCAGGAAGTAAGAAAGTCCTCTAAGTACTAAATGCCAAGTGGCTGGCCAATTTTAGAGGGGCCTGCCCAAGCATTTTATAAATAGAGCCTGACCGTGGACTGCTTGCTTGTGGCCACGCTGCAGGGTGGGAGCAAAGACTGATCCAGTCCTGATATGGGTGAACTGTTCTACAGTTACAGGAAAACTTGCTCAGGCCTCAGAAACTTTATGCCCTGAAGGTTAAGAAGAAGGAGGGAATGCATGGCATTATTCTCGCGCAAAGAGAACATTTAGAAAGTCCTTAGGGTGCTGCCTGGAAACCACAGACCACTCAGAAAGGGTGTCATGTTCACATCCTGGAGGCTGGGGGCCTCAGAGCCAGTGCCAGCTGGAAGGGGAGCCCAGTTTAATGTGTTGCAGGGAACAAAATGTATAACCAGCTTGCTGTGAATCAGGGCGCTGCACACAGTGCAGGGTGAGGTTGTCCACTGCCTCGGCCGCATCTCAGACGCTTTGTTAGCAAGCACTGGCCTGGGAGCACAGAAAGGGGCTGGGCTGGGCCGGGCAGGGCCGCTGGGTGTGAGCAAAATCAAAGAGACCCTAGACCTGTCCTTTGGGTGGGGCAGGACGACTGAGGAATCTGAGGAAGCGGTAGCTAGTTCCAGAGTGTGTTGAAACGAGGTCACCCAACGCCTAGGACAAGGCAAGGCCACCCTGCCCTGTCACACTCTTTATCCTCCCAGTTTCCTGTACTGCTAGAGCTTCCTTATTCCTAAGGAAATTCTCCGTCGGCCATCGCCAGACCTTCTGTTCTGCCCTGACACTAGTGTAGCAGAATGGCTTAGGGACCCTCCTAAAAGGGCAGATGCACATAGCCCCACCCGGGCCCAGCCAAAACCCTGGAGCTCATTGACCAGGGGGAGGGAGATGGCTGGAACAGTGAGGTAAACAGGGAATTCCGATTGATTGTGCTGTGGGGGACCCCGGGATAAAACCACAGCAGCTGCAGTTTATGGAGTGCCTTGGTCCCATGCTGAACACTAGATGTGCATCAGCGCATTGAATCCCCCAGCCACATAAAAACCCCTCTGAGGAGAGTAATAGTATCCTTATATTACAAATGAGAAAACTTGGGCTCATAGAAGTAAAGTAACCTGCCTGGTTTCATCCAGCTGGTAAGTGGCACAGGCAGAGTCCAAACCCAGGAATGTGAAGCTTGCTGATTAGGCCGATTTCAAAGGTCTGCACAGAGTTAAAAGCGGTTTTATTTGTACATTTGACCCAAAGCTTCCTCTGACCTCAGAGGCTACAAGCCTCAGCCAAGTCCTTGAACTCGACCTTTGGGAACGTTCTAAGTCTAGTGGAACTCAGTACGGGCACCACGGTGCCCTCGTGCTGGATACCATGGAGCCTGTGGGTGGCTAGTGTTTTTTGCAGGCTTCTCTGGTCTAAGCCTTCGTGGCAGAATTGCTTTGTGCAGCTGCGGCTCCAAAAGGTTGAGTCAGCCTGGGTCTGCTGCTGGCGCCACAGTGCCCGAAGACTTTGCTGAGCCCTTGCATAGCGCCAGGGAGGCACACCTTCTGTCCACCTGCTCCCATGAGTCATAAAAGTGCCACACTGCTGCCAGGCCTGCCAGCCCTGTGCTTTCCTCCAGTCATCACCATGCCAAGAGTGAACTTAGCCATATATGTCAGGGCACCAGGCAGCGCTTTTCCCCCAGGCCTGGCTTCCTCTTGAGATGTGCCATGGACAAACAGACAGGCTGAAGCATGAGGGCCAGGATGTCTCCGCTGCTTTAACCAGGTGGCCGGGGAGAGGGCAGCAGGGCAGCCTGGAGTCCAAGGGCTCAGGCCAGAGAGGAGAGTCAACACATGGTGGGGTGGGTAACAGGATTAGCAGGTGCCTGGGCCACCAGGATGAGCCCAGGGAGCAGTCAAAGGAGGGAATGATAAAGTTTTATGAATTATTTCAGGCTTTAGGCTATTTTTGTATCCCATTCGATATTTACTGTGGGTGTGTCTTATCATGGAGAGTCTCAGCTGAAAGCTTCCCACTTTTTTGTGAATAAAGAACTTCTTATCTGCCTAACTAACATTCCCAAAATGATTGCACATCACGATAGCACCTAAAAATGCACCCTTTGCTCCCTTCTCTTTTTTTGGGATGCCATGCCATCTCATATTCTCTCTTTCTCTCTCTCTCTGTCTCTTTCTCTCTCTCTCTCTTTCTCTCTCTCTCTCTCCCCGTCCTCTAAGAAGGATAAAGTAAACTTTTTTACTTTTATATCTTACAAAAAATGCACTCTTTGTGCAGAGTTCTCTAGAGGAGCTCTCTCTCCCCGTATTCTATTGCCAGGACTTACGTCAGCCTCATAGTTGGGTAAGAGAGCCCAAAAGAAATAAACTCAAACCTTCTAATAAAGTAGGTAGCAGTGATACTAACTGACCTGTAATGTGGCCTCTGGTGGCAAATGCTCACTTTGGCCAGAAGCTCCCTAACCAGTGCAAATGTTTATGTGTATTTGTTTCCTTGTAGAAAATAAGAGAAAAGGCTACTATTATGCTATATGTTGGGGTCCATTGATTAAACTTACAGTGCTGGGTTTCTGCAAACCAAGGATTTGTGTAGGGGCTCAGATGTATGACAAGCTTCCACACCAAGGCCACCACTAGAGTTGTTGAGGGGCATTTTAGTAACTGCCTCCAAGAGGCCATCAGGACTGGGAAAATGTGGCCATTTCTCTTAACTAGCACAAATTATTATGAATGCTTACATAGCTTAAAGACGACTGTTCTTCGCCTTTTAAAAAAAGTACTTCTCAGATTTCAGGTAAAAACAGTTATTGAAGATGTCCAGCAAAACAGCAAGCACCAACAACATAGCCCAGGCAAGGAGAACCGTGCAGCAGTTAAGATTAGAAGCCTCCATTGAAAGAATAAAGGTAAGAGACCTTGATTGGATTAGATGTGCTTTCTCTTGGGTTCCCCTGCTCTTCTAAGGCTGGGCCACAGGTCAGAGAACATAATGCCATTCAATTCGCCTTGTTTCCAGGATTTTGCTAGAGCAGGCGGAGAGCCTCAGAATCTTTACTTTCATTTCCTACCTAGCACAGGCCTCATTTCAAGTGAGCTGAGGAGCCAGAGTGTCTGAATGACCCTCTCTGTAAAACTCTGGACAGGAAATCCTGAGGACCCACCTTCCTTGAGTGAACATAGCCAAGCCTGGTGATCCTTGTGTTCTGTGTTGGGACAGGGTTCCAGGTAGACTTTATAAACACCTCATCATCCTTCTGGAATTAGAAGGGTGAGAGTTCTAGATCGGTGCAGCTGACGTAGCTTTATATAACAAGTCCACAGTCCAGATCTCCTTTTAAGGAAGTTGAAGCTTTTTAAATGTGTGTGGCCCTCAATGACCACTGTCTGCACCCATGGTTAAGCAATCCCAGCTTTGGTTGCGATCTCATAGAGAAACTGGAGTGCATTTCTTAGGTCACCTGACTTTGAAGTCGTTTCCCCCAAATCCCAAGAGAGGACCAGCAGTAAGTACCCTGGAATGTTGTGACTCATGCTGCTTCCCAGAAACTGAAGCCGTCACCTGATAAATTCCTCTGGGCCTGGAGATAGTCACCTGTCTTCCGAGCAGGAGGCCTCCTGTGCTGTGCTTGACCGGGCTCCCCGTGCTTCTTGCCTTAGGGCACCAATCGGATGATTCTTCAGGGTCTCCCTGCCAGGCTTCTGAAACACGGCATGGTATTTTCCATTTTTAACTCATGCTGGAATAAGGTGCATGCTGGTTTTGTCACTTTTTATTTTCCCAAGCCCAGTCTCTGACAGTCAATCTTGACGCTCCACAACTTGGCTCCAAGCTCATAATTCAGTTCAGAGACTCTGTTCTGCATTCCCATCTATTTTTTCTTGGATAGAAACTGAGATACAACCTTCCCTTGATTCACATACGCTGTTTCTCCCCTGCCACCCCCTCCCCCCCAACTTTTTATTTTGAGGAATTTCAAACCCACAGAAGAATTATAACAACAGACATTTACATACACTTTACCAAGATTTATCAGTGGCGATACTCGGCCCCATTTGTTTGCTTACTGTCCCCTCTCCTTCCTCTCCCTCTTTCTGTCTGTGCACACACATACACACATTATTTTTTCTTTAAACCTCTTGAAAGTTATTTGCAGTTTAGGATTATCTAGTAATAATACCTCACACGCAGTGTATTTTTGAGGAATTCAGGCCACTTATTTGGAGGAGCGCCCTCACCTTGGAGGTGATCGCTTGCTGGCTAGATCCCAGTTGAATGTTTTGGCAGGAATGCCAGCCAGCCAGCTCCTGGGGTGTCCTCAGTACTCACATTGCTCCATTTTAAAGGTGGTGTTTCCCTTTTTACCTGGCAAGGAATCTGAGAGCGATGCTCTGAGACTCTGATTGTCCTGTCCACATCAGTCCTCCACTCAATCGCCCAGCATTCAAATACACTCCGAAAGTTTGTAAACAAAGTATTTTCTTTCTTGTTTGTTTGCTTTTGTTTGTCTCCATGTCAGGTTTCAAAAGCATCAGCGGACCTCATGTCCTACTGTGAGGAACATGCCAGGAGTGACCCTTTGCTGATAGGGATACCAACTTCAGAAAACCCTTTCAAGGATAAAAAAACTTGCATCATCTTATAGTGGAATAGTGAAATAGTTCCTCGCCTCTCCACAAAGCAATGATGAGCAGCTCCTTGAAGAGATTTACCTTCAGCTTATTTGGTAACCACTGCTAATAACTAAAATGCTCTTAGCTTGGAATAATGGACTCTGAAGTCTTTATTTTCCAAGTTGCTCTTTCTCTAAAATACCCTATACAGAATAACAGTCTTGTTTTCCATGTGGTAACTATGGTGTTATATTGGGTTACTGTTTAAGGAAAGTTGTTCTGGGCCTTTTTAAAAACACAATTAAATACTTTTGATACACAGTTGATTCAGTTGTGTCAAAACCTAAATTGCCTAAGCACCCGCTAAATCAAAATGCCAAGAATAACTCAAATCCTGAAACCTTTGTATCATAACATGTTCTTAGTAAGATTGTGCCAACCTGTATAGTATACAAGGGGGAGAGGTGTTTTGTGTATATATATATATGTCTTTGCGTATACACATATCAAAGCTATTTTCTTATGGAAACTTCCCTCTCGCTATACCATCAGTTTCTCAGTTCCAGAAGTTATATCTTTATCGTGAACTGTGAATAGATAGAATAAAAAAGTCTTTCATAGTTATTGTACAAAAAGTCAAGAACATCCCGAAGATTGTATTCATTATAATCAAGTAATGTGGTCATATCTCGTCTCTTGAAATCTTTCTGGACTTCTTAGGCTGTGATAAACTGTGCCAATTAAAAATTTTAAACTGAACTAAAAGCCCTTTGATAATATGCGGTATTAATTCACAAGGAGCCTTGTGGGCTTCAGTGGTCCTGAGTCTAAAAATGGGGAGGAGACCCTGGGGAGGACCCATGCAGCTGTGCTCCCAGGGCTCATGTTCTCCACTGGATTAGGGATAGACACCTCTGACATTTCCGCCCTGATGATTGGAATGAGACGAAGTGAACTTGAGCCCAGCCGAGAGAGGAGCAGGAATGTGTGGAAACCAGCTGCTCTTCTTGGCGCAGCTTTGTGGTTGAGCACTCACTCTTCTTCTCTCTGCCTTCCCTGGGTCTTTTGGGTCCTTCCAGAGCATCTGTCTGCAGAGGTAATGTTCTCCTCCCCAGCCCCAGGTGGGTGGAGCACAGTGGGAAAGAAACATACAGAAACTGTAAATGTATCAAGACACTCACAGTCTTTTCAAGTGTCTGCAGTTTCATCCCTGCCTTGTCCACAGACTGAGAGGAGCGTAGGCCACCCAAGAGAGGCTTGGATTCAGTGGCACACTACTTAGGGCCCAAGGGTTTCTGACAGCTGGGTATCGGGCTCCTTGATTTTCCCCTGGGAATGAGTACATTCCGCACATCCTTGGAATTTCCAGTGGGGATCCCAAAAGAAGGAATCTCCTATGGCCAAGAGGGTATCTTGACTTTATCAAAGAGGAAGAGAGGGTCCTATTTTAAATGCTTATTTAGGGGCTCAAGCCATATACAAGGACTGTGATATTTTAATTCATCTTCAGTTCATTAAAAGTAACTAATAATGATGCATTAAAAACTTACTCTCAAAGAGGACTCAACCCAAGAAAGAATTATTTACAACAGCTTTCCCGAATTTTATACAATCTGCCCTGCAACCCAAGCCCCTTTTAAAATCTAATATCTAGGCTTTGCATGTTATGCTCCTTGAGGGTGAACAAATGCAGTACTATTTTTAAACTTCTCACATGTATTCAGTGTTTCTCCAAGTATCCTATCTACTCAGCATTGGGAATTGCCCTCACTTTTCCAAGACCACGTGAAAGTCTCGGCACTGCCCTTGACCTTGTGTCATCTGCTGCTCAGTTCTGCGATATGCCCAGGTCTCAAATACATTATAGGTACCTGTTTTAGGAAAGATTAAGGTTTTACCTTTCAAAGGGTGAAATTTGATATGTACACTAAAAAGCCAATTTTACATTTAATGCTTCACTTAATAAAACATTCTTTTTTTATAAGTATATTTTTCTACTGATAGCTTCAGAACAGTAGTCTTATTTTCACTCTGATTTTTAAGCATGTTTCTTTAAATATTTATAATGCAGCTTATTACAAAATATTTTCATGAAATTTTTTTTATTATATCATTATGTACACATTATTGGTAGCAAGCATAGTTTATTCTTTAGTACTAAAGTATGCTCTTTAACCTAACAGTAAACAAATACGTTTTGCTATATATTTGTTACTATGCTTATAGTGGTAAGAAGTAGACTTGAGGTCCTAGGAGATTTTATTTTATTTTCCCTGGTCAGATATAATAAAAGTTATGAATATAAATGCTGTGTAACTTCCTCACTAGGTGTAGGGCATGTTCGTGAAAAAATGGAATCAAAAATCCTTTGATGTTGGACCGAAGAGAGGAAAAATTGTAATTAAATATCGATTTACTTATAATTAGACATCTATGTGAGAAAATATAATATATGTATACATATATATGATATGCAGAAGTCACTTTTATTTATCAGGCTTTATTCTAGTTATGAAGCACAGTTTTAACTGTCTACCACAGTTGGTTTACGATAATGATAAATGCCCAGTGTGTGTTATTTTTTCCAACTACCACTATAATGACATACTTACTCACATGTATACATACAATGTCTTGGCTTCATTTTCATGGAACTATTTAAATATGTTCAATATACTTTGCCTTTAATGCTGTTTCTGTTAACGGTGATCTCTTTCTTTTTTTCATTCTTATATTTTTGTTCATCATAAATCATCAGTCCAGTTGAGGCCTCAGGACCATGGCAGGATTTCATGACTACAAGTATTTTAGAGGAACACATTTTTTAATAGGAAAATATTTTATATACCAGGTGGTTCACAAACTATGGGTTGTAGCTAAATACTTTTTTTTCCTAAAACAAAACAAAAAAAAGGTTTTTAAAGTACTTACCTTATTAAAATGAAAAGTGCCAAACGTACCTTTTAAAGGAAAGACCTGTTTTGCTTTCTCCCTGTTTGGACTATTTTTATACTTTAATCTCTTAAACTATCAGGAAAAAAAACCGAAACTTTATAGCAATGATTTAGTAATTTTGAGGCATAGGTTAGCTTACATAGTAGAGGATGTGCCAAATTTTCTCGTCAAATGCCACCTTCTCAACCAATTTATAACTAAGATAGTGTCATCTGACTGATTACTCTGAATTTTGATTTAAGATATATATAGGCCCAAGAAATGAATTACATGTGCAGTATGTGTTACTTTACATGCCAGTCATTTATCAATGAAATAAATATAATGCCAGACTATATTATGGGTTGTATTGATTTCTTTTATGCTAGACCTGTTAATAGGAAAAAAATACATCAAATCAAATAGAATAATACATCAAATCAAATAGAATTGTGTGTATATATATATAGAGAGAGAGAGGGTGCATGCACTTACCTGAAGTCAATGGCTTGGATTTTAGTGCTGTATCATTTTTCTAGTCAATTCTGTGTCGTGTGACTTTGGACAAGGCACTTCATCTCTTTGGGCCTCCATTTCTCCATTTGTAAAACAAGGAGCTGGAAGTAGACAATGGCTGAGATCCCTTCCTGCTCCCACATGCTTCGGTCCAGTGACCCTAGCCCTCTGCTGGTCCTGCCAACGTGTTGGTGCTATAAGCTGCTTCAGATATAAAATTGGTTTGTCTATAACGTATGCTCATTTAATAGCTTATAAAAGGCCTTTTTGGTATACAGTACTTTTTTTCCTAGTTTTATGGACTTGGTTCCTGTAATAATGTCTTGTTTTTAGCCATGTAACTATAAACATATTCTCTTGATGTCTCAGTAAATTTGCATTTGATATATCATTGATGAGATTTTGTTATTTGTTAACATTCTTGGCTACTCATCTGTCCAGCATCTTATTAACCTTAACACTGTGATCGTTTGGATATCTGTCCTATGGAAAGAAAAAAGTATTCACTTCACAGCTAGCATGTTCACAGATTTGAAAGAAGTTCCATTAAAAGCACTATTGCTTTCTTTACTGGATCAGTGCCTCATTGTATCGTCTGCCTGTGTTTTGCTCAGTAACTTAATAAAAGGCCGTTTCTCTTCCTTTTTCCCTTCATTCATTCAGTTAACATTTTCTGAGCACCTGCCAGGAGGAAGGTGCTGTGAGTTAGGCTCTGGTGACACTCAAATGAATAAGACACACACCGACCCGTGAGAAGCTCACAGTCCCAGAGCAAGGAGGGTGGGGATGACAGGTATATAAACTAATCATTACAGTATCCTGCGACAAGCGCCATAACTCAGGTGAACACAGAGTGCTGTGGGAGCCTGGAGGAAGAAGGGAGTAGCTCCACATCAGTGAAGCCCTGTGAGAAGGCTTCCAAGGGAGGCGACGTTTAAGCTGAGTCTGACGATGAAGAAGAAACACAGTGCGCATTGGAATGAAGTCTTGGGGGATGAGAGGAGGAGAAAAGTGGCCTCGAAGCTAGTGTGCGGAAGGTCTCCCCCATACTACTCGCCCGTCCTGTAAGCAACGAGGAGGCTGCAGAAGCAGTTAAGGAGTGACATACCGATTGCCGACCTGTGGAGGACTGTTTCCCATGCTGAGACCCAGCTGTGACCATGGAAACAGATAACAAGTGGAAAGATCATTAGACTCCTGGTGACTCACATTCACTGTGTGTTTGCAGAAGGGACCCTGACTCCTCTGCCCCTCCCCCCGGGGCTGGGATTCCCACAGAGACTAGGTGAGGGCAGCCCATGAGCACCAGCTTGTGAACCGGGCAGGCTACAGAGATGGCCCCACATCTGAGAACCAATGTTCACGCACTCACAAAGGGTGGGAGCAAAAGATAGTCACTCAGCCCTTTCTAGTAGAGAACTGAAGAATTTAGATACTTTGGTTATGAAAAATAGGCCACAACTGATGCAAGCACTTCACCAGTTCTGACCAAGTACGGAAGTCATTGTGACTCAGTGGAGGATAGCTGTATTGGGATAGCGGATGGGATTGGGTAGGGGAGACTTTTTCAAAGGTGGCAGGAGTGAGGATCATGAAGCTGAGAGGGGTGGAATGTGTAAGTAAACGATGCATGTGATACATACACTGCCTTAATGTTATGAACAAGAAACTCAATCCTAGCACTCTGGGAAGCTGAGGCAGAAGTATCGCTTGAGGCTAGGAGTTCCAGACCAGCCTGCGCAAGAGTGAGACCCCGTCTCTACAAAAAAATAGAAAAATTAGCCAAGGTGTTGTGGCACACATCTGTAGTCCCAGCTACTCAGGAGGCTGAGACAGGAGAATCACTTAAGCCCAAGAATTTGAGGTTGCTGTGAGCTATATGCACTCTAGCCTGGGCGACGGAATGAGACTCTGTCTTAAAAAAAAAGTTTTAAAGAAAAGAGAAAGAAAGAAAAGAAAGCTGGAGCCTGCAGGGAGTGGTGGGAGCTTGGTGTGGAGACACATGTCACCTGGCCTTTCAGCTCTTCTGGATGTGGGCCATGATCAGTTTTTCTTGGCAGGAGGGTCAGTGACACATAAACACATGGGTATTCAAGCCAAGCCTTTTCATT